GCGAGATGTTATCTCTCTCGCCTGGCATTGCAGGAGCACGTGGGTTGGATTCCGACCCTGATGTCTGTTGTGTATATGGTCTCTCCCCTTGCCGTGGTCGCGTGGATTTTTCTCCAGGTCCTCTGATGTTTTCCCTCCACATTCAGAATCAACAAAACGCGTTCATAGTATGTGGCTGCTGGGAACATTTGCATATTTGTCAAACGTAGACTCGAGCCCGCGGTTCATGACGCAATTTCTCAGCTGGTGTCAAAACAAAAAAAAAAACGTCTACTTTTATTTTTATGATCATGACTTTCGTTTACCCAACAAAGACTTCTGTGCGTCTCAAGACTCTTTTCCAGGAGGGCCGAGATGTTATACTCCCTTGCCCGGTACGCAGGAGGTCGTGGCTTTCGACCCTGACACCTGCTGTACATTTGGAGTTTGCGTCTCTCTCTCTCTCTCACTCTCCCCGTAGTCACGTGGACTTTTCTCCGGCTTCTCCGGGTTTTCCCTCCACAATTATAATTAACATCACGCGTTTAGAGGATTTCGCTGCTGTTGCTGTATATTTACACACGATGATAAGCCACTTTGTTGAGCTGTCATTTGTGGGCAGGTCGCTTCTGAAATAAGAGCTCTGTAGCTAAGCGGTGCCTTACCTGCTTAAAATAAAAATTGTTTATTTTAGTTCAGTTTCAAATGTGACCATTGTGGTGGTTCAGCCGTGAAAATGGCCTGCGTCACAGTAAAAGTTTGACGATGTCATTCAAAGAGCCGTTTGCTCAACGGATTTACAGATTTTTTTTTGTTTAAACTTGTTGTTAATACAATAAAATAACAGTCAATGTGAACGGGACTTAGAGGTTGTGTAAACTCATAAATAAAATATTAAATTTTGGCGTCGTTTGCCATTGTGATGAGCCCGTGACCTCGGGTCACGGGGTGATCAAACGAGTATTGATTTCAATGAAAGGTGTTTGCCGCTGAAGGTTATACCTCCAAATATAAAACGAGCACAGGGGATTATAAATAATCTGAAAAAAATATATAATCATACGTGGAGTGTGTGACAGTAAGTAAAACACAATATTTATACTTTCTAAACACTGTGTGTTGTGTGCGCATAGTCTTTAAAGTAAAAATAAGCTATACAATAGAAGACTTTCCAGGCAATAACCCTTTTTCATAATACGGTGTTATTGACGAAAGTGTTTTATCTGTAATCATTATCAAACTAGATTTAGATTTTATGGAATCATATTTGCCGTCTTATGTTTCTATATATGTATGTGTACGTCGCAACATCCAAGAAGCCAAAGCGACATGTTAGTAACTGTCTAAACAAACAGAAAGTAAAATAATAATAAAGCGGATTGTTCTTTATTTATATTTATTTATATTGTTATTAGGCTTAGAGACGGACAGAGGTCTCGAATCGAGCCAGGTTATTTATAGAAAGATCTTGTGGGTGTAGGAAAAAAGACACCCGAGACTATGGGGGAGGAGGGATGGATGGAGGGAGGGGAGGGATGGAAGAGAGAGGTCGGGAGGGAGGGGAGGGATGAGATGGATGGAGGGAGTAGAGGGACGGAAGGGAGGGGAGGAATGGATGGAGGGAAGGGATGGGAGGGAATGGAGGGATGAGATGGATGGAGGGAGTGGAGGGAGGGAGGGAGCGGAGAGAGAACGCACGGCTCCTCCGCCACGTAGCCTCGCGATCTCATTTGGGAGGTCTCCTGGTAAAATAGAAAATAGAATGTAGAGTCGTCTACTCTCCCCTAACCCTGACCACTCAACAACAAACAAACACATTGTGACTTTCTCTGCCGATCTTCCCGTGCGAGCTTAGAGCGCGTGGTCCGGAGGGCCCAGGGGGTAGGGGATAGGCGGGCGAGCGGGCGGGGGGGGAGGTGGTGAACACGTGGAGTCGCGTCCCCTTGGCGCGACCCCAATCTGCCTCCCCAAATCGTTCATTTCGCCTCTCGCGGCGGGCGGCCGAACCCCTCGGTCGCGTTTCTCGTTCTTCGGAGACCGCCGCTTCCCTGCGTTGCGTGGCCGAGTGGCTCTCCTCCGTCGCCTCCTCCCATAGCCCGCAGAGTCAACGGGGGAGGAAGGCGCGAGGGGTTGGGGGGGGGGGTGCTACATGAGTGGGTGAGTGAGTGAGCGGGTGATGGGATTGAGCGTGTATGAGGCCTGGAGGTGCACATAGCCTGGCACAGGCGCCGTGGTGACTTCACCGACACTTAGTGTGCGAATGGCGGTTGTTGTTTTGTATGTGGGCGAAATGGTCCCGGGCGTCCCCTAGGTCGACTCAGCCTCAAATGAGTACCTGGTGTGGTGTAGTAACGTCACCATTGGGAAGACAAAGGGGGCCGCGCGTGGTGTTGACCACCCACCTCCTCGTCGCCTTCATAGGTGCTCGCTAACAGCACTTGCCCAAACACTCTATTCAGACTATACGGGAGATCTTTGTATTTGTCTTCGTGTATGCGAGCGAATGGGTAGCTAAATGAGTGGTTGACTGTGTGAGTGGGTGAGTGAGTGTGCTGTTGTGATGACCTGCAGTGCGCTGCTAGTTGACCACAGTGTGGATGAGTGGGTGTTTGGGTGGGTGAGTGAGTGGGTCACTTGGGTGAGTGAGCAGGGAAAGTGGGCGAATGAGCGACTAAGTAAATGAGTGGGCGAGCGAGTCAGGTGAGCGAGCGATCGAGTTCGCAGTGAGTGTCGCTATGAGCTGCAGTGCGGTGATTGGAGCACAGTGTGCGGATGAGTGGGTGGGGTGAGCGAGTGGGTGAGTGATGGACCCAGGTGAGTGAGCGAGTGATTGGACTCAGTGAGTGGGTGAGTAGGTGAGCGACTCGCCACTCGCTCACCACAACCATCCCTCTCCTCCCTAGAACCCTGGACCCGAGCATCGGCCACTCGAGTTCACAGCCCAGACTCCCCTCCCCTCCCCCCGCCCTGGCCTCTTTACGCTCGCTCTCGGTGTTGACGGCACCTCGACTCGGAGAGCGATTGTCACCCTAGGTGGCAAATTGGACGGGCCCTGCAGGAGGGAGGCAAGGTTGGGGGGTGGCGTTGGTGGTGGGGGGGTCGATTGTGGGAGGGGGGGGTACGAGGGTAGGGGCGGGGGGGGCAGGGAGGGGGTGCGTGGGGAGACCCCCGTGTTGGTGGTTGGGGCGGTGGAGAATGAGAGAGATTCTGCGCTCAAAGCGATCGTTCAAAATAACAGGGAGAAGAGTTAAAGGCGCAGCCCTGCAAGGGATAGGTCCCGCCACTGCTGGCGAAAGGGGGACTCAACGAGAGGAAGCAGAGAGCTGTCTAGAGAGAGAGAGATGATTCCTCTGGATGAGGGCTGTTTTGGGCCTACTCTTCCAAGCTTTTCGCAGGACTTGTGTTGATGCACCCACATTTTACCCCACCGACACGCCACGCCAGCTGCCGATCAAATACAACAATGATAATGTTGTTTTGATTATTTATTTACCCGGTAAAGGATTTCTGAGAACTCGAGACTGTGTGCCAGGCGGGTCCCGCTACATTGGGGGAGCCTGGACAATTGTTTTGTAAGGAGGCTGCGCAAAGGAACTCGATACAATTGAAGGAACTCTAATGTCCAATTTGCCTAACGATTGATTTTTTTTACCACTTAGAGGTTCTCTTACACTGCCACGCATCGTGGGCAGATGTGTGATACACGTGTCTGTGTGTGTGTGTCTGGGGAGCGGTGGCGTAGCGGTTACCTGCGCTGCGAACCCAGCCACCCGAGTTCGATTCCCGCTCACGGCCAACACCAGTGACGATTATTTGAACCGGTCCTGGGTCTCCCCTAGGTCGACTCGGCCTCAAATGAGCATACCTGTCAACCCCTTATCAGTGCCTACCTTATTACAGGCCAATTCAGACCTTATTGGTCACCCCCGTGCCCTAATACATCTGAACGTTCATTCTATGAAGTCACATCACAAGGGAGAATCACAAACAAATAGACGATTTTATTTTTGCCCGTATTGAAACGCCTGTACGTACGCCTTGTGGACCTGAAAACTCAATTTCCTTGTACAAGAATATGGGTAAACCCTATGGGTTGACAGGTATGAATGAGTGCCCGGTGCTGTGTGTAAACATCGCCACGAGGGAGACAAAGGCGGCCGGGCGTGGTGCTGGTCACTCACCCCCTCGTGCACCGTGCTGGCCTTCATAGGTGCTTGCTAACAGCACTTGCCCCAACAGTCTGTTACAAGGCTATACGGGGGATCTTTGTCCTTGTGTATGTACGCGTGGCCTCGCCTAGGTCGACTCAGCCTCAAATGAGCACCTAGTGCGGTGTGCAAACATCGTCACTCGGAAGACAAAGGCGGTCGGGCGTGATGCTGGCCACCCACTCCCTCGTTCGCAGCGCCGGCCTTCATAGGTGCTCCCTAGCAGCACTTGCCCCGACAGTCTGTTCAGGCTACACGGGGTCTTTGTCTTTGTGCATGTTTGTGGTCAAGGGGAGCGGTAGTGCAGCGGTGAGTGCGCTTCGCTACGGACTCGGAGACCTGAGTTCGATTCCCGCTCACGACCAACAGCGGTGGCGAATATTTGAACCGGTCCTGAACCTCCGCGCGGTATACTCTAGCTCGAATAAGTCCCGGGTGCGATGTTTAAATATCACCACGAGGGAGACAAAGGCGGCCGGGCGTGGGGCTGGCCACCACCCACCTCCACGTGTGCCGTACCGGCCTTCATTAGTGCTGCTCGCGAACATCACTTGCCCCTTACGTGTCTGTTGTTTATGTTTGTGTGGTCAAGGCCTATGATACCATCAATAGGCCAGGGCTCTTGGTTATACTTTTTTTTCCTTTCGGGGTCTCTGACCCTCTGTTCACGATCATTACAGACCTTCATGACGCAGGGCAAGCCACGTGGAAAGGTGCATGGCCGGGAGTCAGAGCCATTTCCTGTTAACCTTGAGGTGCGACGGGGATGTCCTCTGGCCCCGACGCTATTTAACAGTTTCTTTGACATCGCAGTACGAGACGCTCTTCTGCGACTGACTGCACTGGAGCAATTTCCATCTGGCGCGGGTACAATGAGAGGCTGATCGGCGCGGTCAGTGGATGGCCCCCCATTGGTCGATCTGGTCATCGTTGCTCGCTCTGAGAAGGAGTTTGAGACTCTGCTGCTGAACCTGGAGCGAGCCACTAAGGGGCCGTCCATAAATGACGTCACGCGATTTTGTACGATTTTTGACCCCCCCCATCCCCTCGTCACACGGCGTCACAAAAAGTCAGAACCCCCCTCAATATGACGTCACAAAGCTCTGCCCCCCCCCCCCCAAAAAAAATAAAACATGCTTAAAATCGTTTAAACTATTGTCATTGTAGTGCGTATTTATGTGGCGTTGCACTCTGATGTTGTAGGAGAAAACATTTATTAAACGTCTATTTAATTAAGTAGAACGTGTTGTCTATATTTATTTAAAGTTGCGCATTTTGATGTGACCTCACATTTCTCAAACCCCCCCCCCGCTCGTCACACATCGTCACAAATGTCTGACTCCCCCCCCCCCCCACTAGGTGCGTGACGTCATTTATGGACGGCCCCTAAGAGGCGCTTGCCTTCCCATCAGCCCCAGTATTTAACGTCATTAAATACTCCACCTCCTCTAACTTGCCACGAGTGATTGGGGGGGGGGGGGGTGGAGAGGGAGGAAGACGTTTCTGCACATGGGCAGTGCCCTTTTGACCAGCTCCGGTTTGGCAACGGAGGTCTGACTCTGAATCAGTGTCAAGTGCGCGGTGCTACACACCCCGGCAACCAGCGTTCCATTCCCGCTCACGGCCAACATCAGTGACGATGATCTGAACCGGTCGTGGGGCTTCTCTCATGTCGACTCAGCATCAAATGAGTTCCTGGTGCGGTGTGTGAATATCGCCACTGGGGAGACAAAGGCGGTCGGGCGTGGTTGCCGGTCACCCACCCCCTCGTGTACCGCACTGGCCTTCATAGGCGCTCGCTACCAGCTCTTGCCCCAACAGTCTGTTACAGGCTATACGGGGGATCTTTGTCTTTGAGTGTGTGTATGTGTGCTCTCTATCGACCCGGGCGGCGAGTGGTTCACAATAAATGGCTTTTAAAGTCGTTTTGATGTCCCAGCCAAGGAGAGAGAGACGAAGAGACGTGCAGAGTGGTTTGTGCCGTGAGGAGTGTTGTACGACTGCTGCTGCTGCTGCTCTAGACGGCAAATGGCTGCATCGACGATGAGTAGGCAGCTCGTGCGGAGACACTGACACGGAGTGACAGACTCACTCACAGACAGACAGACGCACGCTACAGCCGACAAACACACCGCTCCTGCAGTGAGTGCCAATAATTTGACATTTAACGATGTGTTAGTGTTAGGGTGTGGTGCTAGTGGCTGGTTGGTGAGTGGGTTAGTGTTGGGTGTATGGCTAGTAGATGGTTGGTGAGTGGGATAGTGTTGGGGGTATGGGTAGAAGCTGGTTGGTGAGTGGGTTAGTGTTGGGGGTATGAGTAGTATCTGGTTTGGTGAGTGGGTTAGTGTTGGGGGTATGAGTAGTATCTGGTTGGTGAGTGGGTTAGTGTTGGGGGTATGAGTAGTATCTGGTTGGTGAGTGGGTTAGTGTTGGGGGTATGAGTAGTAGCTGGTTGGTGAGTGGGTTAGTGTTGGGGGTATGAGTAGTATCTGGTTGGTGAGTGGGTTAGTGTTGGGGGTATGAGTAGTAGCTGGTTGGTGAGTGGGTTAGTGTTGGGGGTATGAGTAGTATCTGGTTGGTGAGTGGGTTAGTGTTGGGGGTATGAGTAGTATCTGGTTGGTGAGTGGGTTAGTGTTGGGGGTATGAGTAGTAGCTGGTTGGTGAGTGGGTTAGTGTTGGGGGTATGAGTAGTATCTGGTTGGTGAGTGGGTTAGTGTTGGGGTATGAGTAGTAGCTGGTTGGTGAGTGGGTTAGTGTTGGGGGTATGAGTAGTATCTGGTTGGTGAGTGGGTTAGTGTTGGGGGTATGAGTAGTATCTGGTTGGTGAGTGGGTTAGTGTTGGGGGTATGTGTAGTATCTGGTTGGTGAGTGGTTAGTGTTGGGGGTATGTGCAGTATCTGGTTGGTGAGTGGGTTAGTGTTGGGGGTATGTGTAGTATCTGGTTGGTGAGTGGGTTAGTGTTGGGGGTATGCGCAGTATCTGGTTGGTGAGTGGGTTAGTGTTGGGGGTATGAGTAGTATCTGGTTGGTGAGTGGGGTTAGTGTTAGGGGTATGGGTAGTGTCTGGTTGGTGCTCGTGGCTGTTTTAAATCGGCGAGGCTTTCCTACGGAACGGCGTAAGACATCGCTCCCACCACGACCCCACCAACCCCGCCGCTACGAGCTGCTCGCTGACGTACGGCCCCCGTCATCCAGCAGTGGAGTGGGCAATACGAGGCCGCCAAAGAGACGTTTCGTTGTTCGTGTGTCTGTCTTTGTTGCCCACTTATCGGCGGTGGCAGCGGGTGAGCACGTGTCGCTACGAACCGCGGTGACCCGAGTTCGATTCCCGCTCACGAACCAACACCTGTTGACGGTTAAATCTGAACCTGTCTTGAGCCTCCTCTGGGGGGGGGGGAGGGAGGGGGGGGGAGGGGGGGGAGGGGGGGGCGTCCATAAATTACGTCACGCGATTTTTGACGATTTTTTACCCCCCCCCCCTCGTCACACGGTGTCACAAAAAGTCAGATCCCCCCTAAATATGACGTCACAAAGCTCTGCCCCCCCCCCCCAAAAAAAAAAACATATTTCCATTTTGAAAATAAAACATGCTTAACATCGCTTTAAAACTATTGTCAGTGTAGTGCGTATTTAATGTGGGGCTGCGCTCTGATGTTGTAGGAGAAAACATTTATTAAAAATGATATTTAATTAAGTAGAACGTGCTGTCTATATTTATTTAAAGTTGCGCATTGATGTGATTTCACATTTCTCAACCCCCCTCCCCCTCGTCACACATCGTCACAGATATCTGACCGCCCCCCCCCCCCCCCCCAGGTGCGTGAAGTCATTTATGGACGGCCTCTAGGTCGACTCAGCCTCAAATGGACACCTGATGGGACGTGCAGCAAACATCGCCACGAGGGAGACAAAGGCGGCCGGGCGTGGTGCTGGCCACCCACCCCCTCGTGTGCCACAGCGCGGGCCTTTCATAGGTGCTACTCGCAAACACCCTTGCCCCAACAGTCTGTTGAAGCTACACGGGAGGGGTCGGGGGTCTTTATCTTTGTTTTACCCGGCGCTTGAAGCGGAGCAGAGGTTCTGGCGAGGAGAGGAGGGAGCGAGAGGGAGAGAAATTGGCGAGATTTTTTTTCGTCGCAGCGAGAGCGATGTTGCTCTCGCATCCACGACCTCTAACAGCGCGCAGGAGGGAGGGGGGGGGGGGCCCAGGGGAGGGTGAGAGGGGAGGGGCCCTGGGAGGAGGGGGAGGGGAGGGGCGCTGGGAGGAGGCGGTGGAGGAAGAGGAGAGAGGAGGATGGGAGAGCAGAGCAAGTGAATGGCGAGTGCTGTGGGAGAGACAGATGGGAAGGGAGGAGAGGATGGAGGAATAGATGGATACGGGGGAAGGGGAGAGGGTGGGAGAGACGAATGGGGGAGACGAGAAAGGATAGAGGAGGTGGTGACGGCGGCGATGGTGACAGCAGTGGAGGTGATGGGACTGCAGGGGAGGAGGGAAGGAGGTGAGAGTGGATGCAGGTTGGACGAGGTGTGGAGGAGGAGTATTTGTGGCGAGAGAAGAGGGTGGAGGGGTGGGTGAGATGAGGGGCGGGGTAGCGGGGGGGTGATTGCGGGGGTGGGGGAAGGTGTAGAGTGGAGCAGTCGTGGTGAGAGTAGAGGAGGAGAGGGTGGGGGTGAGTGAGTTGGGGGGAAGGTGGGGGGGCAAACCCAATCGTAAATGGGTCTTTGTACAGATTGGGGGGGGGGGGTGAGAGGGGAATTCCAAACAGAAACAAAGAGAGACTCGGTGAGAGAGACACGGAGACACACAGAGACACGAAGACACGCATAGAGACACTGAGGCACACACAGAGACACACATAGACACAGATACACGCATAGAGACACTGAGACACACACACAGACGCGGAAACATACACATAGACACGCACAGAGACACGGAGACACACACATAGACACGGAGACACACACAGAGACAGAGACGCGAAGACACCACAGAGAGACACACAGAGAGACACAGATACACACAGAGACACGGAGACACAGACAGAGATACGGAGACACACAGAAACACACAAGACACGGAGACACAAAGACACGGAGACGCACAGAGACACGGAGACACACACAGAGACACGGGGACACACAAATACACGGAGACACAGATTCGCGAAGACACACAGAGAGACACAGATACACGCAGAGACACGGAGGGACACAGAGACACACGGAGACACAACGAGACCGAGCTACAGAGAGAGACACACACACACACAGACAGAGCTACACAGAGAGACAAACACCAAGACGGACTACGCGCCGATTCAAGGGTAAGGAAGAGAGACTCTGTGTGTGAGCGGGCGACAATTGAACAGAAGACGTGGTTAGAGAGGCAGAGAAAGGAACCACGGGGGAGAGTGGGGGCGGGGGTGTTCAGGAGGGTGCAGGGTGGTTGTGGGGGGGAGGGGTCCAGGGGGGTGGGGGGCAGGGGTGGGTGGTGGGGGGAGGGTTTCAGGGGGGGGGGTGCAAGTTGGCACGCAACTGGCAGTCAGCGGGAGACTTACAATTGTGACCTTTTGTCGTTTCGCTTAAGAAGCTCTTCTTGGCTTTCCCTACGCGCATTGACGAGCATGGTGAAGTATGGTCGAATGATCCAGCGGTGGATTGCCAGTGGGGGGAGGAGAGGAGGGGGGGGGGAGCTGTCACGTGTCGGGGCTCACGCTGTCGTTCCACCTCGCTAAGGAGCGTCCGAGACAAAGACACCACGCGCGCGGGACAAACTGGACCATCGATCTTGCATTTGTTTGTGCGTGTGTTTTTTAAACACATCCCATCAGCCGC